CCGCTCCCCCAGCCGCGGTCTGTCCTCCCTAATAACCACTCTTGGTTCTGCAGCAATGCCGTCTTCAAGAGCCACGGTTACTGCCTGTCCCAGGCCCTGCGATTCACCATAGAGGAGATCAACAATTCCAGCACGCTGCTTCCGAATGTCACTCTGGGCTACGACATCCACGACACCTGCTCTGAGCCCGCCAACCTCCACGCCACCCTGAGTGCCCTCATCCGCAAAGGCAGGCAGGATGTCCAGCTGCTCCCCACCTTACAACACTATGAGCCCCAGGCTGTTGCTGTCATCGGCCCCGACAGCACACAGCTGGCCCTCACCACAGCTGCCATCCTCGGCATCTTCCTTGTACCAGAGGTAAGTGCAGCTGATGAAGAATAGGGATCCTGAGCATCGAGGGTTTGAGAGAGGGTGGACTCAGAGCTGAGGAGGCTGCTAGAGCTGGAAACGCAGCCCCTCTGTGTGGGCTGGCTGGGGTCCCTTCCCAGCCCCTATCTGGAGGCAGGCAGGAATCACAGTTGGCTCACCGTCCATCACAGTTTTTTCCTGCCACGGCACACTCGGTGCTGGCTCCACTGCCTGCCCAGCTCTGAGTCTCCCCAGGACAGGCTGCCCGTGCCATTAGCTCTCAGGGATGCCACTGCCTGGGGCAGTGCCTCTCCCTTTCTCCTGGCTCACTTTACAGATCAGCTATGAAGCCTCTGTGGAGACGCTGAGCATGAAGCGGCTGTACCCGTCGTTCCTGCGCACCATCCCCAGTGACAGGCAGCAGGTGAAAGCTATTTTCCTGCTGCTGCAGCACTTTGGCTGGACCTGGGTGGCGCTGCTGGGCAGCGACAACACCTATGGTAGGGGTGGCCTGGATGCCCTGCAGAAGTTGCTGACCACAAGTGATGTGTGTGTGGCCTACCGAGGCACCATTCCTATCAACTCAGACACCAGCAACCCTGAGCTCCACAACATGGTCCGAATCCTCACAGACGTCAAGGTCAATGTCACCATTGTCTTCTCCAACAGCCGAAGCGCCCGCCCATTCTTCGAGGTGGTGGTCCAGAGGAACATCACAGGCATGGTGTGGGTGGGCTCTGAAGACTGGCTGTTGTCTCAAATCATCTGGCAGGTGCCTGGCATCCAGACCATTGGCACGGTGATTGGGATGACAGTTGAAAAGCCAGAGTCTGTGATGCTGGAACGCTTTGAAAGTTGGAAGATGGTGGAGGAAGGTGCTGCGGCCAAGTGTGCCGGCACTGCAGAGGCAGGCGGGGAATCCGGGGGGAGCTGCACCCAGCACTACACCAGCTGCCGCTCACTCACTGCTGCCCCCAACGTGTTCGACGCTCAAGCCTCCTTCAACGTGTACTCGGCCGTGTACGCCGTGGCCCATGGCCTCCACAACCTGCTGGGCTGTGCCTCGGGGGCTTGCAGCAAAGGCACCATCTATCCCTGGCAGGTAAGAGCAATATAAGGATCCTTTCCCACGGGGAAGGATTTTCCCATTGTGCTCAGGCCTCACAGAGACCTGGATGAGACTTCTTGCAGATGATGGGCGTCGGGAGAGCAGAGGTAGCACAGAGGAGGGATCCTCCAGCACATCTCCCTCCCAATGGCAGGAGTCTCACCATTGGAAGGGCTCCTCTCTTACTCTTTTGTTTTACAGCTCCTACAACAGATCAGGCAGGTAAACTTCACCCTGTACAAGAGCCGAGTCTCTTTTGACGCCAGCGGGGATATTTGTAAAGGCTACGACATCGTCATGTGGAACTGGAGTGGCTCAAGCTGGGCTTCTGATGTGATAGGAACCTTCCATGTCAACCCTGACAGGCTGAGCATTGACCCAGGCAAAGTCCTGTGGCACACAAAAGATAGCCAGGTACTGTTCTGCACCCAGGTCTTATTTATTCCTCACTACTGAGCTGGCTGTGTCCCAGTGCCAGCTCTTAAGGGGCATTTCCTCATAGCAGGGCAAAACTGAGGGTGGACAGAGGTGGTGTGGGGGGTGCCAGAGTGCTGCTGGGCCCAAGGTGTGCTGCTACCCACCCTGCTCACAGGCTGACCCTGTCTGCACTCCCGGCAGGCTCCCACCTCGGTGTGCTCCAAGGCCTGTGAGCCGGGGGAGTGGCGGCTGCAGCAGACCCGCCACCGGTGCTGCTTTAGCTGTGCGGCCTGTCCGTTGGGAACCTTCCTGAACAGATCAGGTTAGTACACCTTGGGGGCTGCTCCCACCCCTTCCTTGCCTGCCTGCATCCTGCCTCCTGCTCCCTTCTCCCCGTTCCCAGCCTCTTCTCTCCTGTGGTCAGTAAAGCCTGAGCTGACCTGATGGCAGTGGTCTGGCTCCGATTTGCTCACCGGTGGGTATGCAAAGCCCACGTCCTGCACTTTCCAGGGAGTGTTGCCCACAAGTGAGCCCACCTGGGCAAACAGAGCTCCTTCTCCTGTGGCCAGGGGACAGGCATGTCCGGCCCAGCAGCTGTTCCCTGCACCACATCCTCTGCCAGGGAAATTCGATGCAGTGGTTGCCTTTGTGCCCCAGATGGCACCTGGGGCTTACACACCATGCGGTCACCAGCAGCTGGCATATGGAAATGTGCCCTGCCTGGGACAGACAGCAGCAGTCTCCTGCCTCAGAGTAACCAGCCACAATGACAACCCTCTTCCTGGCAGCTGGTTCCCTGGCACCCTCAGCCTGCTCTTGGGCTACGGGGTGGGGAGGGGCAGCTCTGAGAACAACAGGAGTGAGGTCCTGTCCCATTCAAGGGGGCTGCTGCAGACTCTTCCCAGGTTATTGCTGGATGCATGGGCCCCCTCTCACCCACAGCCCTGAGCCTAACCCAGCCGAGGTCCTGCGGGCCCCACACCTCAGCCGAAGCCACAGACTTTGGGGAATTCCATGGGTGGAACTCTGGGTGTGGGGAGTCTTTTGGAAAAAGAGCCCCCTCTGCTCCCCAAGGCCTGGGAGTGCCTGTGGGAATGAGCAGAACATGAGAGGTGGGCAGAACCTGGGGGGCTGCAGGCTGGGCTGTGGCAGAACTCTTACCGGGTCCAAGGTATGCAAGGTGCCCATGTCCTCTGCAGACCCCTACGGCTGCCAGAACTGCAGGTTGGACGAGTGGGCCCCGGCAGGGAGCGAGGCCTGTTTCATCCGTACTGTCGAGTTCCTGTCCTGGTCCGAGCCCCTCTCCTGGGTGCTGCTGACCCTGGCTGTGCTCCTCATGCTGCTCATGGTGGCACTGGCTATCCTCTTTGCCCTCAATGCCTCCACACCCGTGGTCAAGTCTGCGGGCGGGAAGATGTGCTTCGTCATGCTGGGGTCCCTGGCCTGCACCTGCAGCAGCCTCTTCTGCTACTTCGGGGAGCCCACACGGCTGCTGTGCCTGCTGCGGGTGCCACTCTTTGCCGTCAGCTTCACCATGTTCCTCTCGTGCGTGGCGACCCGCTCCTTCCAGATCCTCTGCATCTTCAAGCTGAACGCGCGCTGCCCAGCGCTCTACGAGGCCTGGCTGCGGCGCCAGGGCCCGCTGCTGTTTGTGGCCGGCAGCAC